TAACAGAGAATTGAAAAGAATTTTGGAAAAGGTAGTAAGCTCTACAAGAAGGGACTGATCAAAAAAATTGGAAGACACACTATGGGCTTATTGCACAGCGTTCAAAACCCCCATTGGATGTCACCATACCAGTTGGTTTTCGACAAATCGTATTATTTTCCAATGGAATTAGAGCACAGAACATTTTGGGCCACAAAATTACTAAATTTTGACCTCAAGAGGGCCGGTGAGAGAAGACTGTTACAATTGGATGAACTAGACGAATTTCGGTTACATGCTTATGAAAATGAAAAGTTATACAAGGAAAGAACAAAAACATTGCATGATAAAAAGATCATTGTGAAGGAATTTGTACCTGGACAACAAGTGCTTCTCTTCAATTCAAGACTCAGGTTGTTTCCAGGTAAGCTTCGATCCTGGTGGTCATGACCATTTTTGGTTCAGCAAGTCCTCCCTTTCGGCACGGTTGAGATCTCAGATCTGAAGCAGACACGAAAGTTCAAAGTGAATGGTCAGTGGTTGAAGTTGTATTTGGGAGAGAGTTTCAAAAGGGAAAGGTGTACAGTTACACTACAATCCCCGCCACCCAAACTTAATCTCGTGTGTCAACTAAAAGTTTTTTTTTTCTTTTCTTTTATTTTAAAAAAATAATAAATAAATAAATAAATTTTTTTTCTTTTACCCTAAATTCTATTGTAGCCCTAATTTCATAGTGTTTTCTTTACACTCTTTTTTTACCCTGTTCACCTCTACTCTGTCGCTTCTCATCCTCGATTCACCATTTACCACTGCTCCTTACCTGAACCACAACTTCAATGGAGAAGAAGACCACGAACAATAGGGTTTCCAGACCAACACTACAGTCGCAAGCTCTCGTATGCACCCCAACCAGGTTTTCACAGCGCCTCCACGACATTCATGCAAACAAACCAAGAGTGACACCACAACAAACGAGTCATCTCAGCATTTCCTCAGATACTTATTCAAGCCACGATTCAAACCGTGAGTCAACCCGAGATTCAAGCACTTCTCCACCAGGGGACAACCACCATGGTATTATCTTTCACGATACCGAACAACACGCGAGGTATACTTCCCTGATCAATCAGACCATCCTACTCATGCAGTACGTCGATGAGCCGACTTTAACTACTTTAGGGATGCTTGAAAAAGTCGAATGGCTGATCGGTCACCTTGGGTGGAACCACTTCATTTCCCTAAGACATCCTTGCTTACGAGCGTCTCACCCTAGAGTTCCTCAGTTTAGTGTCCGTAAAACTTATGCGGGGCACAAACAGAGCAGCAGGAGCAATCTCATTTCAATTGCACAATCAAGAGTTTGACTTAGCTCTGACCGAATTCAACTCCATCTTTGGATTCCCACCTAGAGGTTCCAGCACGTACCCAGGGGATTTCATCGCTGCCCCATTCTGGCACCAGTTGACAAGGTCACATGCCTTCGTCTCCTCAGGCTTAAAGGTAACTGTTATTCACAACCCATGTTTTCGCTATGTCCATCGGTTACTGACCCACACGGTGTTTGCTAGGGGTGAAAGTCATAACGTTGTTCGGAACTATGAATTGTTATTCTTGTGGGGAATGGTTCATGCTGCCAACCTAAACACTGGATCATGGCTCAACAGGCAACTTCTTTGAGTGGGAAAGACTTGTTCTGGGAATATAACCATCGAGGGCCTGAACACCGCAATTGCATTACATTTTAACATCTCATTGGAAGGGGACAATCCCATTTTGGGAACTTCATGGATTGACTCAGAATTGCTACTCACCAGTGGGGTAATCACTAAATGGGAACGTCAATATTGTCTGGTTATGAGCGACAAAATGAACATGCCAGCGCAACCTCTGCCTAACCCCTCTGAGGGCTCGATAAATGGACTTTTTCAGTGGAGGACTGCGATGTCAATCCCAATCGCACCTTCCTAGCTTTCACCAACCCTCCTAACTAGCCCAACTTCAGGAGGCCATTAATCGACTCCAGGCCCAACAGACCAAGCATTATGAGGAGTTCCAGCAATTCCGAGAAGAACAAACAGAACACCAATTCAAGGTCGAACAATTGTTGGAAGAAACTCTGATCGTGCTTTGCACGCGTCCACACTAAAACTGTGAGTTTTTCCTTGCTTACATGTCTCTAACGCTTCCAGTGGGGACCATGGAAACATTTAAGTCTAGGAGATTTACTGTCTTTAGTTTTTTTTAGTTAACTGTTTCAATAGTTTTTGTTTTTGTAATTGTGATTTTCTTTTTGTTTTAGCATGGCATATAGCATGTAGCATTGCATGATTGTTTTTACCTCAGTTTGTCTTAACCTCAAGTTCTAAACCACACACTTTGAGCACACTTCAGAGCCAATAAACTGCTAAACTCATTGTGTGGGTGCACTCTGTCAATTATGTATGATCCTAGAATTGTTAAATATTGTTTCAACTTTACACAAAAAGATCAGTTATTGAAAGCTTTTAGACAAACCAGTGAGTGAGAGCACCAAATATTTATATTCACACTATTGAGAGACATCATCATAACATATGTATTTGCATTGATTAATTCTTGAAACAGTTGCTTTTACATGAAAAATTTGAAAAGGTCAAGGCAATTTTTGTTTATATTAAAAAGCCTTGTGAGCCTAGAGCCAGATTAGTAATCAGGTTGCAAAAATTTTCCCTTGATAAACCCTTTTGAGCTTTATATACATCTTTTTTTTTCTGACCTTGAAACCCTTACAATTTGTCAAATTCCCACCTGAACCAAACCAAAAGAGCACGTTGAAAATGAAGTGGGTTAAGAATTAGGGAAGTGAAACTCATTTAAGGAAGGGAAAGGACAAAATTCGGTGCATTAAAACACAGGAGTCACCTCTCTTAAGTACTAGAGAAGCTGCTCAAATAGGTTCTCTAATACCATATTCAAATTTTATTTACTCCAAAAAAAAAGGAAAAAGAGAGCCAAACAGATCGTATAAACATTTGAAAGAGAGAGGTTCCTCAATATAAATCACAAGGAAAAATAAAGTTCTAAAAGGAAGAATTTGGGAGTAATAGATGTGGATGGAGTTATCAAAAGAAAGAAAGGGGTCAAGGTTCAATGGTTCAAATATTTTCTTTTTCATTTTCAATTTGCTCTTTGGAGTTTGGAACTTTGTGCATCCAGAAAAACTATGTATTTCTTCACTAGCAAGCCCCATTACAACCATCTCAAGACCTTGTGATCCTCTATTTTTCTTTCAAGAGTGATAATGGAAAGAAGATATCAATGCTTATGTTCATAGAAATGATGTGTGCTTGAGAGAAACACTCACTTGGAGAGAAACACTGTGAGGATTAATTTCAAACACTGATCCATAGTGCTCAAGTAATGATATGTCTTGCAATTCTTTGGTTACACGTAATTGAGTAGCAATCAAGCTGAAAAAAGGATGAGAGGTGTGCTCTGAAATTATTTCTACGGAAACTGAAACTTGAGTTATGATAATCTACATCCATATACTCGCATCATCTTGTGTTCATTGAAATTTCCTTGCTTGAGGACAAGCAAAGATCTAAGCCTGGGAGATTTTGATGCATGTTTATTTCACCTCACATTTATAAATTAAATTAGGTCAATTACATGCATTCTTGTAGAAGTTGAACAATGTTTTCATGCATTACCGTTGCATTTAACTTGTCGTGTAGTTTCGTTGTTTTGTTGAGAAACAGGTGCATTTAGAACCAATTTTGTGGGGCTTGCATGATTAACGTTATTCATAAGCTAGCAGTGGAATTCCTTTTTTACTATTGGGCTTGGGCTGAAAAAGAAAAAGAAGGGAGTAGCTAAAAAAAAAAGGAAAAGGGTTAACGTGGAAAGGAGGAGGGAGTTAAAAGCGGAGAGAATTACGTTATTCATAGAGGAGCAAGAAGGACTACAAAAATTTTGGGGAACATTGTTTTTTTAGGGTTTTAATTTCTGGATGGAAGGCTAAACTTTTCTTTTGTTAGAGGGTTGATGTAGTATTCGTAAGACAGATTCTAAACTTATCTAATTTGATGCAGTATAATTTTATTTACTCCAATATTTTATCTATGGTTTTTTATGTCCATTTTTAAGCAATTATATTTGAAAAAATTGATACTATTTATGTTGTTAGATGAGATAAATTAGATTTTTGTTTAATTGGAAAATTATACAATCTTAAATAGTTATTGTGGAGAAGATTATTAATTATTAAAGTTTCAGAGCATTTTTCTTATTTAAAGGAATTAGGAAATTAAAATTTCAAGAAATAATTTTGCATATCTAAAGGATTAGAAAGTAAATAGTACTTTTGATTCTAGTGGATAAATTTAATTCTTACATCAATTAAATAAGTTAGACATTTGTAAAAAAGAATATAAAATCAATATTGTGTAAAGAAAAATAATGTGTCTGTTGTCCTTTTTTCTCTTTAATATTACTCAAATTATTAATATTCAATAAATATTTAATTCCTGATAATAATAAAATGATTATTTTTGTAATAATTAGTCCGCTTACCAAAATATAGATACATCAGTACCCGTGGAGCAATAGTTTTGGGATGATTTCATATTATCTGCAAACAAATGGCAGTATTTCATGCCGAAACTTTAGGGAAAGTTTGGCAACATAATGTTGAAGTGTATCACAGTCCTTACAAAAGCAACTTGAGCATTTGCACAAATACAATAAGAACCACGTAACAAAAACTAACAATTAAAAATAGCAAGAATAACAACTATTAAGAAAAGACATTTAATGTTTCCTTTATTCGATTTCTCACTCTTCTATGATCCGAAAGGTCTACAGTTGAAAAGCAACTGCAGATGATACCATCACCAAATATTTTATACATTAAATAAATCAATAAGACATAAGTCTAAAAAATTTAAACAGTGAGATGGTGACTGAATCCCAATCCTCTTTCTCCATAGGAAACTTCTCACGCCGGCCCAGAAAAAAAAACAATGAAAAATTAAAAACAGTTAACCCAACGAATTTATAAGGTCTTTAAAGTTGAAAACTAGCCAATCAGCTTTCGCAGCAACAGATTCTCGAAGTTGAACACCAGCATAGCAAACGAACAAGTCAGCACCACCTGGTTTACGAGCCTATATGGGGAATCATAAAAAGCGTACAATTACTATCACAAATGAGTAAGGTATAAGAGGAAACAACTAAAGATGACACAACAATTTGGCCAAAATACTTATAAAAAACAAGTTGAATCACCAATAAAAAATTCAACATTGGTCATTTGGGTGTGAAATCTACAAGCTATTTAGTTAGTAAGACAATATACAGAGAAGAAAAAAATTATAACATTATTATGAGTTGGAAATCTACAAGCTATTCAGATAGGTGGGTTTAGATTAGGAAAAATAAAAATAAAAAACAAGTCTAATAAGTTGGAAATAAAAGATTTTCGATAAAAGTACCAGGAAATACGCTTTCTTACCTCCAAATCAGTTGCACCATCCCCCACCATAGTTAAAGTTTTGAAACCACGGGCCTGAAAATCAGTTTGATCAAAATCAGTTTGATCAGCTTTAAGTAATGAAAGTGGTTCAAGAAACGAAAATTAACAAGTGGGTACGGCTGAACCTTCTTGATCTGTTGGACCGCAACAGCTTTTCCTCCACTCCTTGAAGTCGGCTCACTTTTATCGAACCCCAGAAACTCTCCAGAGCCCCCAAAAAGTAGTTGATTGGCAAAAATATTCTCTTGTGGAATTCCCAGTATTGATGCAACAGGCTTCATAAGAAGTTTTCCAGAAGTTAGAATAAGTATCTAATCCATTATCCTTTATTTATAAGAACTGCATAAAATTCTAAATGTCATGACTAAATTAAGGTATGAAAAGCATTTGCATGGGAAGAGCATTAGAAGACAGAGACTATAGCTGCTAACTATATTCATTGCATTTCAAAATAATAACAGGCTTGCGGGATGGCTCAGGGGCCATGGAAGAGGCCCTGACCAAAATTCCAATATCAGATTGATCCCCTCCCTGATACGCAATAAAAATTCAAAATTCATTAAGCCTCTCACATTCATTCCAGATTCTAAAGTAAAATATAGATGTATTCTGCAAGAGATATGTGTAGGAAATAACATTGTGCTAATATTAAGATTATGGGCATGCAATGACTGGGTGAACTAGTAATGAAATATTTTCAGTGGCAGTGTACTATAAAGATGAAAAACAGTCTATCCAAATTCAGAATAAGTCATAGAAACTATTGATTTTCTCCAAGCACAAAATGGACCAGAAAAACCACTAATTACTACTATTCTTCGTACATTGATCATTTGACGGAAGCCACCAGAGATCAGGTAAACAACAATGCCATTAGCCTTTAACTTCTGGATTAATTCTTCAATACCAGGGGAAAGCCTGCAGATTAAGAAGTAAAATTATTCCAAATCTGTCTGAACTAAACACATGTCAACTCGTTGGAGAAATGATGATTAGAAGGTGCAGAGAAAGAAAGTAAATAGTCAAGCTTCGGTGTTTTAAATATCAACCGTTTGTCTCATCAAAGATTAAGCTAAGTAGGGATCAGTCAATAAATCTTTGTCAGACACGGAGTATCATTTCTCTACACCACTCTCATAATTGAATTATAATTTAATAACAATTTGAAACACAATTTAAATATGGAGGAATAAAATTTTTGCTACACAAACCATGCAGCGCTTATTTGATAGGGCCAAAAGCAAATAACTTGCATTAGGTGACCAAATATGCATTAGTTGGGGAAAAGCATATATTCTATTTCAGAAATTTGGCTACTGCTAGAAAGTGCTCATAAGGGTTGTGATCAGATGGACATCCTAGGAGAGAGAGACCAATCTCAGTTTATCTTCACTTATCTGTTTCAAACATGGATGGATATATCAATCAGAGAAAATTGGGTTTAATACTCAATGGTTGACCATAGTTTAAAACTGACATTATTTCTCTTCCACTTACAGAAAGACATTGCACAGGGAAAGGTACTGCAGAGTTAAAGATACAGTGATAAGGTAAGGTCTTTCTATCATTAGGATGTTTGATTATAAAAGGAAAAAATACTACATCCAGAAACTTTTTGCCATAACCACTATTCAAGTCTTGGTAAATTTCAGGCTGAATTATGTAAAGCCTAGAAGTACAACCTAATGCTATAAAGAAAGCTCTTGCCATGATGGGTCCTGAACAGGTCTATTGTAGGCAGCCTTATCTTGCATTTACTAGAGACTCATTCCACAACTAGAACCTGTGATTTCCTATTCACACGTCCATCGCACAATCACTCCCCTTCTAACAAATTAAAAATGCTTAAGACAACAATAATCAGGAAATTCACAAGAAACTGTCCAGGTGACTTTTCATAGTGAAAAGCCAAATCAAAAGCAAAATGTCATACATTAATCAAACAAGAAGGTCATTGGTGACCAACAAGTCAAATATGCTCAAGGCAACAAACAATGAAAACTCCAAACAAAACCATTCACTCTCCCCGAGTCATACCTTGGGGGCTTTTGCTCAAGAAAATTCTGAAGTTGAGACAGAGAGGGATTGAACAGAGACAGCCTAGCAGCCAAGGCTTCCTCAAACGGAACAGAACCACCCATCGCTCTACGAAAATTCTCAAATTAGATACACCATAAACAAAAAAGAAAATTCTCGGATATATATATATATATATAAACTCTTCAATGTTAACAAAAACCCAGTTAAACAATCCAACCTAGCAGTCCATTCAGCAACAGCCTTTCCAGCCCCACAGAACTCAGCAAGTTCATCAATCCCTTCATCTAGACACACAGTGCTATCCACATCAAAGCACACTGCATCACCCTTTCTCCAAAGCTCAAGAACCACTAGCATCACAAAACACACTATGTTATTGTTCCCCAAAAACATGAAGCAAATAACATAAAAAAAACATATAATGCACATAAATAATGTAACATAAAAACCTTTGGAAGGGAGTGTGTTCTCAAAATGCCCCACTTTGGAGCCCCCAACAGATGCAGCCACAACGAAACACCGCTGTTGCTTCTTCTTCTTTTCCTCAACCCCAATTCCAATCCCACACACACTCTTATTCCTCAGATGAAGCGTTGATGAAGGACGAAAACGAGATTGGTGCTTTGTAACACCAAAAACACGAACGGTGTTGATCCCAGAACTCACCAACCCTTCCATGGGAACTAGCTGCTTTCCAAATCCAGTGACAAAAACCGTTGATTTATCAAAAACCCATCAGATAATGAAGGGTGCTATATTTTAGGATCCAATGGTGTGATGTGAGGGTGTACGAATATTACTGAGTACCTGCAGGTGAACGAGGAAGCGTGTGGAGGTGCGTGGGAAAATCAGAGAGAGGGGGTTGGTGGCTGAAAATGTTCAATCTCAACGTCTACAACAGTGGGCATTAAATGGAACAAAATTAAGTTTTTTTTTTGTCATAACGTTGCTTTCTTGTTTCGGTAAGAACGTTGTTTTCTCAACAATTCGAGAATTACGATTTTCGCGGGGTATAGTTTACAATTATTTTGATTTCAACCTCACAAATGATGAAAACGAAGAATTGTTTTCATGAATTAAACCTTTTAAAAAAAATTACATAAATAAATGCTTTGTTAAATTATTTATAGAACTAAACCCATTTATTTTTCAGGGTCAAAATTTGGTCATCGGCATTTCAAATTTGCTTTATCGTTTCCGGCTTTTTCATCATAAACTTAGTCGGAATTCGATTCTCGACCTAGTTTTTTATGCTTTCTCTTTTCTTTTATGTTTTCTGACGTTCTTTTAATTTTTTTCTTCTATTATTTTATATTATATTATAATAATTAAAATCATTATTAATATAATTTAATAACAAATAGTTGTCTAGGTAAGATATATTTATAATTTTATAATATTTGAGTAACGTTAATTATTAATTAATATTAGTTATAACATAAAAATTACTAATATTAATAAGTAACAAAACATAATATTATTATTATTATAATTAATTAATTATTATTAAAATTAATATTTAGTTATGAATATTAATATTATTTATAAAAATTTAAGATTATAATAGTGTAGTATTAAGATTTTTGACAAAAATATTTAAAATATTGAAGTAAGATGTGAATAAAAATATTAAAAAAAAAGTAAGCATGTATATAAATATATTTTATAAATATGAATAATTTACATTTATAACATAAGTTAATAAAAAGGACAAAAAAAAGTCCACTATATATTATAATATCAATATTTAAAGTGTATGTACTTTGAACGTAAATTATATCTTACATGTCAATATTAAATTTAGTAACAAAAATATTTCGAAGTATTATATTTCAAATGTAAATTTATTGTTTATTTTAATATATAATTATAATTTTAAAATAAATAATTATAATTTATGATTAATAAAAAAATAAGATATAATTTAAATTTTTTATTTATAAAAATGTTGAGAATATGATATATGATAAAAAAAAACATAAATTAAAAATTTAAATTTGATGGATAAGTAATTATGATATTTTTTTGAGTGACTTTATTGTTTTTTAATGTCTTTTTTTTATTATTATTTGTATGCAACTTGATTTGAGATGATCTTTCAAAGTTTCTTAATCTACATTTTTGTTTATATGCTACCATCACTTTATGGTTTGTTTAACTTGATTATCATTTGTCTTACCTTAGTCAAATTTATTAATTCATCCATGAGAAATCTTGTATTTATTTAATCAATGTCAATTATTTTATGAGTGTTTTTTTTTTATTGTGGATTGTTTCAAGGATTGATTGTGATTTTAGAGTAGATATGTCCAATTGCAATTATGATAGTCATCTTTCTACCTTTAGTGGTGAAGAATTTATTGTAATGTATGTAATTTGTCATCACCAAGAAAGAAATTAGAAAATTCATTTTTTTAAGCACAAAATTGATAAACCCTATTAAGATTGTTGTCATATATCTTTGGCATCATCTATTATCTCATACAAGTGTTAAGTTTTCCCTAAGAAGGTTCATTATCATAAGTCTCTAGTGTCTCATACAAGTGTTAAGTTTTCTCTAAGAATGTTCATTATCATAAGTCTCTAGTGTCGCTAGTTGTCTCATGTGAGTGTCTACTTCTCTCTAGGAAAATTAATGATTAATGAGTTGAGAAAAAGAAACAACAACCATATTCACATATTTTTATTATTTTCTATCTACTAACTTCCTTCTCTTGAGTAAGCAATCCATATAGACTTGTGGAGGTTGAAAATGAGATAAATATCATATTGGGAGGTGATGTACTTTTATAGGTTCTTATAAAAAAAACACAAGTATCAACCATTTCACTTCCCATTATTATCAAGGCTACGAGGAGTATGTTATTGTATTCATCTTGTGCAACTAGCACCAATAATGTTCCTCAATATGTTCATGCAAAGATATTTTGTCCATTTGAACAAGTGGCTAACAGTAACAAAAATTATTCATGATTTGAATGTCCCAAAAACCCTTTTAAAGAAATTTTGGTCCTCAATAATTATTCTCCATAGTAAGTGAGTCAAGCACTTAATTTTGAAAAGGATCATTGTACATATAATTGCATCACATTTAAGATTAAGGGCAATTTTGGTATGACTCCTTTGGTTGCCATATATCTTCTCAATAGCTAATTGTTTTTCTAGTCTAACCTTTTGATATGCCACATTATATCTCTTTAAGGATTTAATGTGAGTTAGTATGGTTTATATAAATATTGATGAATTTGTCTCCACAATTTCATTAACTTTGTGAGAAAACATGTGTGACCTCAATTGTTATTATCTTAAGATATTAGAGGGAAACACAAGTATGGATAACTTTCAACTTCATTATTTCTCATTATTAATCTTTGGTTTCCAATATTGCTCTAGATCTCCAGTCACATTTAACATGAATATATTGCACGACAAACCTGTATTTGTTTGAGATTTGCATCTTGTAGTTGCTATGATTAATAATATGAAACTTGTTGATACGTCTTGCACTTTTGTTGCGGTAAAGTAGCAACCGTCAAACATTGCTCAAGGGAATACAACACAGTTTTACAATAAAAATTATGCCCAAATTTTGGGTCATGTTCATATATAGATCGGAAGTGGAAGAAGTCATGTGGTAGGTTGTAAATTAAGTTTAGATGTGTTGAGTGGATATTTTCTTATAGTTATGTTTGTTGATCATATTCTTCATCCATACTTTGAGCAAAGATGTCATCTTTGCCCTCACTGAAAAGGTCAAAGCTTTTTGTTAAAATACTAACAAATGCATGTTCTTCTAAGCTAATGAAAGACCAAGTGAGAATTTGAGCATAGATTTGTATATCAACTTCCCAACACCATAATCTAAAGGCTCATATTATGGGTGACATGATGGTTTTGGTTCAGGGTGGTGTGATGATTTTGATTCAAGATGCTATGGTGATTCTAGTTCAAGGTGGTGTGATGATTTTGATTCAAGATGCTATGGTGATTCTAGTTCAAGGTGGTACGATGGTTGATGTTATTAAGATGGTAAGGATGAATAAAGTGGGAGTTGTGATTGAGACAATTAGGATGCAACAAATTTATATGTAATGTAAAATTCATTACTTTCTTGAAGTATATTTAAATCATAAATGTTGAACAATACATTGACATCTTTGTTATCTATTAACTCTTATATACACCCTTTCACCAAATTTGAGCGGGTACCAAAAACATATGTTGGTCATCCTTTTTTCAGCCTTTGTAAAGATACCTCTCTCGATAAGGGTTCAATATTTGGTGATTATGAATTGAATATAATCCCTTCAATAGGGTAGTTATTGATGAACCGACCTTAGTGAACAATTATATATAGAGAACCCATGATTTAATAAAAGAAATGCAAGTTGAAATTTAGTAACATGGGAAGTTTGACACATTAAGCTTCCAAAGTTTAAAATTGTTATGAAAATTATGGAGCATATGATTTTAGTATTTATAAAAGTTTGCTTTTGATTAATTCAAAATCAAATTTAATATGTTTTAAGCACGTAGACCGAGTGAAAGCAATAAGTTAAACACATTTGTTAAATATATGTATTTTGAATGGAACACCTCTAAGTGAAGGTGACAAGTCAAAAATGAATGTTAAGTTTGATGTCCTTGAAAAGGTAAGTGGACAAGTATGGATGACGTGATAGTCCGATATCTTAACATACAACCATTTAGAATGACACGTGTATCGAGTAAAAGTGACATATCAAACATGCATGTTAGCATTGACTCATTTTACAAGAAACATAGATTGAATGTGTGTGACATGACAACCACATGTCTCAACATGCATCCATTATAAATGGCATGCATTGCAAGTCGAAGTGACATATCATACATGAATTTTGACATTGATACCTTTTGAAGACCATGCAAACTAAATGTGTGATGTAACAACTTTATGGCTCAATGTGTTATAATGCCTTGTAAAGGGCATGCAAACCAAGTGTAGATGATGTGGTAGTCATGTGTGTCAATAAGCATCCATTTTGACTAACACATGCATCAAGTGAAAATGATATGTCAAGAAGGCATGTCATCATTAATGCCTTCCAAAGAACACAAAACAATTTTGTGTAATGTGACAATTACTTGTCTCAACATTCATCCATCTTGGCTAGCATGAGCATCGAGTGAAAGTGATATGTCATGCACGTATGTCAGGTTTGATGTCTTCTAAAAAAACATGTGGATAGTGTATAACATAGTAATCATAGTTTCAACAAACATCCATTTTGGTTAACATATATCAAGTGAGAGTGACATGTTAACATTGATGCCTTAAAATGGACATGTCGTCCAAATTTATGTGATGTGGCAACTTCATTATTAAGTATTAATCATATCATATACATATGCCAACATTAATACCTTTAAAAGGACATGCATACCGAATTTGTGTGACGTGGTAAGAACGTGTCTCAACATCCATTTATTATGATTATTATATGAGAGAAAGTAATATGTCAAACAAACATATTATGTTTAGTGTCTTCTCAAGGACACACAAACTAAGTATCAATGGCTTTGCACATGCATCCATTTTGATTAGCACACCCAACATGATATATATTAGTCACATAAAGTGATAAATTTTGACTAATAGTTTTAAGGGAGTCAAATAATATATTATTAATAAATAATAAATGAATATGAAAATGTGAGAGATTAAAATTATAAATATATAAATAAGTATATTTAATGATTATTAAATTTAATGACCAAAATCATAATTGTATATGTAAGTTACAAAACTTTAAATGATTATGACCCCCTCAACCTTTCAAGAAGCTCCGGTTACAAATATCTTATTTAATGTCTTAGGAAAGATTCAACATGCACTCATTCTCACTAATATGCATATCGAGTGAAAGTGACATATTAAACATATATTTCAACATTTTAACTCAAATCCTATCTTTTGATATTAATCTCTTAGCATAATTATAACTTATTGATAGACTCATTTTTATAGGTATAATGTCCAAAAATATTTGTATCATAAATAATAAGATTAAAATTGTTCAAATTTGACTTGTAAACTAAAAATTTAAGACATTAATATTTTGAGTTTCCCAACTCTTAAAAAAATGATTTATTTTTTATTATCAATAAATTATAAAATATTTGAGTTATTTTATTTAGAACCTTGTATATTACTTAATTTGAGGTTTAAAATGATAGATATTTTTCTAGAGATAATTATATACTCTCTCTTGCATTATCATAAATTCATCTCATTGAACCATGTATACGTTACTACTTTAATTATACATATAATAATTGTTGTATTAGTTAGAATCAAATTCACCTATCTTATATAATTTTTTTTCTCATATATGTAGACCAGCGTATATTGCCACCCTTATCTAATATATCGTATTTCTATTATAATCCAAACTATAAATCCCTCCTATTATAATCCAAACTATAAATCTAGTGTCATCGACATGAACGTGAAACTACTAATTTATCATTAAAAGACAGTTTAATAGATTAAACGATGAAAGGATGTCAATTTCTAACCTTATTTTTTACACAACGTGAATTCTTTTCAATCCTACTCTAGACTTGAATGGTTCAACCGCAAATTTATTAAGAAAACATAATTAAGGTCCAGAATATATAATAGACTTGTATTTACCTCAACTCCTAATCAATAGAAAAAATAATACCACATTAACTAACTTGCATTAGCGACTTCCTTTTTCTACCACGAGCTCGTACCAAAATAACCCATTTAAATACAGACTTCCTGATTCAACAACGAAATCACTAAACCAGTACTGGACTTATACCAATGTGATGACCAAATCAATTTTCATAACACTAAGACCAATTACAAATTTTAAATTTTACAAGTAAATATTGCTTTTTATTATTCCGTATATTTATTTGAAGGTAAAATAAAAGTTAATTTACCCATTTGATCTTTATAATTAACAAAAAATTCCCTTGTATTCTCTATAAACAAGCACACTGCTTCAATAAAATACTGTTCTGTTTCACAATTCATGTTGCATGAGAAAGGAAGGCCCGCCATTATTAGAATAGGAAAATCTTTTGATGAGTCATTTCGGGCTGAAAAAAGACAGACTCCATCTTAACATAAAAAACAATCCCAGAAATATCTGGTCTCAACCAGAGAATCCCCAAAATGGGTGTCTGACCTTGGAACACTTATTACAGAAGTCGAAGATAAGAGATTAAAAAAATGTGGCACCAACAATTTCAAAAGAACCAACGATATTATCTTGATATCGCCACTGTTAAATATGTTACAGATTGCTTTCCTGCTATTAACCTTCCAGTGCTGAAGCTCCAGAGATAATCTCTATCAATTCGGTGGTAATAGATGCTTGACGAGTTCTGCCACAAAATGAACAGAGACCAGTCAGTCAAAACACAAAGTACAAAACTGAATTGAAAGATAAGAATGAAATCATATTTGGATAGCCAAAGTTCAAAGAATAATAATGATACATAAAACCCTCTTTACATTCAAAGACGCTTTAATACTAGGTATTTTCTTTATCCATCTTCCAATCACCAATACTGCCTACTTATGAGTGCCTACCCCCTTATTTTCGATATTTCCCATCGAAAACATTGATTGTTGAAAGCGATTAAGACAGGAATGTAGAAGAGAAATAAAGAGACCTGTTATAAGTGAGGGTGAGACGATCAAGCATTTCCCCAGCGTTCCTACTAGAGCTGTCCATGGCAGACATTCTTGCTCCTTGCTCACTGCAAGCATTCTCCAGCACCGCATTGTACATGACCTGTAGCATAGTGTAAAAAAGAAAAGCATGGTCGTAAAAACTGCAACCAAAGGATAAAGCGATACTTGCAATGAAAAGTTAATTAATATGGGCAACTAATAATAGACGTTACTCTCTTACTCACCTTCCCCAATACTACATCATTTACCCCCTCTCTAACAATGATATTTTATACGAGACCTATAACTTCATAATTTTTTTCCTTTATATTTCATTTTTACCGAACAACCTTAATTTAATCATCCCCCACTATTTCCTTCCTTCTCAATTACATGCTATTTCACCAACCCGGGTGTGCAAGCAACCACAGGGACAGTCCAATAAGGAAAGGGAGACGGGGTGGTGATGGTAAAACATTAAAAACTAAACATGTCCACCGTAATGTGTGAGCTTGTTTATCAAAAACTATATCTGTTGCATTTTTTATTGAGATTGAAAAGCAATTCAGAATTCGTCCATGAAAAGGTCCATTAAAGGAGGATCACACATTTTACTAATTAACATTGTTAGTCGTTTTAGTATATAATCTACAAAAGGATTAAAGTCCGAGCATGGACTTTTGCCCTATTCATAGATTCATTGCCTAGTTTCTTTCTTGCTTTTCCTCAGTATAGCTTCAATAATTGAGGGCAAATCTTGGCACAAGAGTAAGGTTGTTGCCTCAGTATCTGGAAGTCAACAATTTCAATCCTTGAAACAACCTCTTCTCTTGTAGGGAAAGGCTGCATGCGTCCACCCCCCATAGACCCCACAAAATAAGAAGCCTCATTTTAGACCTGCCCTTGTAAATAGAGAATTCATCATAGGTGTTTTTCTCTTGCGAAGAGATTATTTTATTATCATCAGTTTAGGAAAATGACAAATTGGGTGGGGGTGTATTTAAATTTTTTTTTTTTTCTTGTCCATCACTTTGACATTGTTTGAAAAGACATTGAGTTATTATTTCCTATAAAATAAGACAGATAAATATTATGATAGATAAGAATAAATGTCTTTGCATTGTAGCTTCATAAAATTTCAGTACACCAATACCAGATGTTTAGATTAATATCAACTATAATAAAGTTAAGAAAAAAGAAAAAACAGCCAGCACTAAAGTTAGTGTCCGAATGTTTTGAAAATTACTTACACAAGAAAACTGGAACTCAGCCAGATTCTGAAGAATTTCTGATTTTGTCTCGCCACCTTCAATCTCGTATGAATCCAGTTCCCCAAGTTTTCCTCCTGCTTCAGCCTCTCTCTCAATAACCTACATGAAAATCACCTTATTCATAAGTTGAACAAATAAAAGGTAGGACTCAAATGACAAAATTTGAATACTGTAGACAATATAAAAATTTTGATAAATGGAAGTACCTCAGGAGATAGTACGGTTGACACTGTTGGCAAAAATGATACAACAGATTGAAATTTATTGAAAACAATCCTTAATGCATCATACTCCACATTCTTCAGAATGTCGTCTGCCAAGACAGAGACCTGAAAGATCCAACAAATAGCATAGAACAACAGAGACATTTCAATGCAAGATTGAGTAAATCAAGCATATTTATTTTAAAATGTAAATGTCAGCAATAATTTTGATTTACAAGCACCAAAATTCAAGCAATAAAATAAGCTTATTTTTGGGATGCAAAACATTTGCTTGGGGTCAATAAGAAAATGTTATTAAGGTCATAATTTCAATCTTTCTTCCAAGAATTTAAATTTTAAGGTCGGCTGAGAACTTGATAGAATAAAAAACACAAGAAATAACATTATGATTCAAAAGCATTCTAAAGTTCACATCTATAAGGTATCCTGTTACTGTTTGTCTGCCTCAACCTCTATATTTGTACATCTCAACCTCTATATTTTCCATTGCTTTTTTTTTTTCCTTAAAAATGGTTGCCAATAAAAATACAAAACTGTCAAAATCCTGATAATATTGGCTCTATTACTATAATTTCAACTATAGTATAATCAATTCAAAAAGCATAATGTTCAGGCTATACTGTAGATTAAAACAAATGCAAGCTCTTGAAAGAAAATGTAGAGGCACAAATATAATTATGTAAAACTTAACAAGCTAACCTGAGTATAGTTCAGGGGATTTTTCTGTAATTCAGTAAGGCAGAGCTCAATATCTTTCTTTGAGTCACGTAACAATTGAGCCTTGGCCTTCTCTCCCAATATGACATATTTTGTCTCTTTATCAGGACCTATAGTAGTAAATATGCATATAATTAGAACCATAGTAATAAATTTCAGATAGGTCAACTTTGAAAACAAAACAGTGAGAAAGTGGATTGGATAGCTTCTATTATGAAATTGTATATACAAATTAAATATTTTATACTACATATAAAGTGCTAAAAAAAGATATACAAAATTTAAGATATATTCATTATTAATATTTTAGAGTTATATTTTAAGCTAATACAAATAAATAATAACAAAAATCATGAGAATGTGGAATCAAACAAGTTTATACCTTATATAAAACTCAGAATAAGAAAAGGGAATAAAAATGGTGAGCAACACTGCTATTAGAAATGGACTAGGCTTAGCACAACCACCAAAGTAGCTGAAGGGAGAAGGATTGTTCATATACCTTATAAGGAGAATTATGTCCACATTCTACCCAATGCGAGAAATCTTAACACACTCTTAACACTGTAGACGAATATCTAGAGCATGAAGTTGGTAGGACTGGACTTCCACACGTAGCTTAATATTAAAACTAGATAGACTCTGATACCTAAAAGATAGCTCGATATACAATGATTACCCAAGTCATACATGTAGTTATTCTGACCATAATCCTAATCAATGTGAGATATCTTAACACACCCCCTTACACCCAAAACTTGATTTCTAAATATGAACCAACAGTAAGATTGAACAGGCTTGATTTTAGACTTCATATTAACCTTAAGAGATTTTATAAGATTATAGACATAATACAAATTAAAATCAACTGCACCACCCTGTTCAATTAGTGTAATCGTTTAATCTACAAATATCTTGGTAAATCATGTTTCAGGTGCATGCATTACAAGGATCTTCTTTCCTTGCTTTCTCAATTGAACAAAAATCTAGAGATCACTTCAATAGGACTCATTGACAGCCCCACTGAAGTGTATTACAGAACATAAAGGTTCTGTACATTGACAATAAAATAAAGGCCCACCATTTGGATAATTGAATCCAAAACATTGAGTGGTTTCTGAGTCACTAAAGTTAATACTCAATCTGCAAAATGATTTGGCTTCATCAGATTACAATTTTCACAGTTCTCTGGTTACAAAATGTCATTCAGATATGTAAGCTCATAAAATCAGCCAACATTACAAACTTACATTTCCAAACATTTCACTTTTAATAATTAAAAATAAAAAACAATACAGTAAAGAAGTAGTCTTTAACAGACGCAAATGCAAAAATTACCAGAATTCAATTTATGCAAAACCCTGCTTATCTTGACAGACGTGGAATTGATACCACCACAAAGACCTTTGTCCGAAGAAATGGTTACAACAACGCTCTTCTTAACATCAGCACCTTAGAAAATGAAAACCAAAAAAACAAGCAAGATCAGGACATCATCTGAAAAATAAATTTCACACACATAAATCTAATGAAGCAGTTGCACATGTTTAAAATCCCAAATTCCCAACACATATCACATTATTAATTAATTAATTAATTAATAATAATAATAATAATAATAACCGCAACAAGAAGAGATGCAATAAAATACTACAATCTGTACAACATCAATTTTTGAGACAATCTCTCTCCACCACATCATTTGCTACAATTTAAATTTCTCTTTTCTCCCTTTCTCCCTTGTTGTACAAGTAACATTTCTCTATTGATAATGATAATCCTACGAACAACATAACCAATTCATAAAAATCTAATAAAACAGTCACACGTATTTTAGATCCCACTATAGGATACAACAACAATAATAAATAAATAAATAAATATATAATAATAATAATAATAATAATAATAATAATAATAATAATAATAATAATAATAATAATAATAATAATAATAATAATAATAATAAGGATTATAGAACATACTGGGATTGTCACCGAGAAGAGCAGTAAATGGTTGCCAGAGGCCACGGGAATTTTCAGCTCTTGTTTGGACGGCTCGCAGCTTGGATGCGGCAACCATCTTCATGGCCTTGGTGATTTTCTGGATATTCTTCACACTCTTCATTCGGTTCCTCACTGCGATCATTTCATTAAACCATTACAAATCAACACTATCAAGTCCAATACAATGACACAATTATACAAAAAATAAAAGCTTACTCCAAGACGGAAACGGCGAAAGGGAGAAGAAAACGAATCGTACCTACTTGAGTGGAAATGGAGCGTGCACCATCAGGGGCTTGGTCTCTGTCAAAAACACGTTTTCAAACAGCGTGTGAGATCGAGAATCGAAATTCGAGATTCGAGATCTGTGAAAAAGGGAAAGCAAGAGAGTGGAATTGAGATTTGAGGAATGATGAGAGAAAGGGAAGAACTGACTGAGAGATGAGAGAGGAATGAAGAGCGTTGATCGGTTGGGTCAAACGCCTCCCTTCGCGACGGAGAACAGCAGCCATTGCCATCTTCGTTCGTGATAGCTCTTGCGAAACCCTAGCTGTGTAACACAAACAAGTGAAGAAGCCCTTATTTGTTTTCGCTCAGGAACAATGCCAACACTGTGTTCAAAGTGTTATCGGCTATGTATGTCACAAGCCCCACGCACTTTTCTATTCTCCCAATGGTTTGTTACTGCTTTGTAGGAAAGTAAATATTAGAAAAAAAAAAAAAAACCTGTAAATTTGTAATTGATTTAAATTTATTTTATATATAATTTTAGTTCCCTATAGAAATAATGTTCATTGTTAACTCTTTCAAAACAAATAATTTCTTTTCATTTTTTGTTCCTTAAAATATGTCATGGGTAATTCTTGTTCATCATTAAACATTAGAAAGAAGTATTCTTTTGAAGGACAAAGATAATGCACGACAATTTTTTTTTTCTAGTTATCATAAAATTACTTTATATGAATATTATTATTTTTAATTTATTTGAGTCTTTGTCAATCTTTCATGTAAGGGATAACGTGACTAATAGAAATTTAACAATAAGCCTAATATTTTTTAAAATGTTAAAAAAAAACTTACTTTGGTAAAAAATATTTTGTTTAAAAGTTTAATTATTCATTTACCGTATATAATAGTTTGAAACTAATGAACTTGTTACCTAACCAAATTCTAAAAAATAAACACTACTAAACCTAATAACACAATTAAACTTGAAAATTTAATTTGGTTTAAATCCATTAGATAGCCTTTACATAATAATTTTTTTATATAATAATAATATTAAGTTTTGAAGTACTAATATTTTATAAAAATATATTTTGTTTATAAGAAATACATGAATTTCACAATAATACACTTACAAATGAGCTAAATAAACGATGGACATAATTCAATTAATATAAAAAATTTGAAAATTAAATTCATATGAAATCTTATATTTGTCTAGTAGATAAATGTTAGATCCAATAATCTTGGATAATCCTAATTTTTTTGTTAAGAGATTTTGAATAAGTAAAAACAAATTTTAGAAATAATTTAAAGAAAAATCAAAATTTGTTGTATCATTTCATCGTTGATCATGTTTTATGTCTTCGTAAAATTCAAATATATTTTGTGTTGGTTAACGTTTGAAGATCAAAAGGCATATCTCATATGTATATATTAAAAGTTGTACGATGAAGAAAGGAGGGCACGTATATACTCTTAAAAGGCTAATGTGTCTCTGGGTTATCATATATGTTTTGTCATCTTAAGGAACTAATTATTTTTTATAATTTGAAATATACTAAAAATTAGTTCAAAATGAATTTTGAATTATTTTATTAAGATTTGTTTAACATTTGAAATCTTTGACTAAATATTTTAAAAAAATTATTAAAAAACAACAACAAAATTAATCATATAACCTAAACATAAAATTAAATATAAATTAATAAAAAGAAAAACCTGGGTTTAATGATTATTTATTTTTGAGCTTCAAATCTTCTAGTTCCACAAAAATAATTTTTAATCTTAAACTTCTGAAAATTGAATTTTTATCCCTCAAATCTTATATATGCTAATAAAATTCGATCTTATAAATCATTTGAATGACACAAAATGATTTTTATTTAACACAAAATGAAAAATTTTGATTTTGAAGTTGGTGGAGAGTTTTGACATGAAGAATCCACTGTAACATAATCGATACCAATACATAATACATTTATTTAAAAGAGTAATATAATTTATGTTACTTTTCAACATTATATAATAACACAAATAGACATCTTTTTTTTTTCAATAATATTAAAAAAATATTAAAATTTGATGTGCATATATGTAAAAGAGGAGTACCTTTGTATTTTATACTTTCCTGTACCTTTTTCCTTCCAATTCACTCACTTAAGTTTGATCAACAGCAAATTTTCTAAATAATATAAAATTTATAATCATTTCTAAATAATACGAGACTTTTTAAAAACTTTTTAATCTAGTAATTTCTCAAATTTAATTAAAGTTAAAAATTAATATCATTATATGATTTTAGATTAAATTTATATTTTATGAATACTTTTGTTCAATATAGGTTACTATTTCATATACATATCAATATTAATTTAAATCAAATATTGTTGAACATATTTTATATTGATCAATATTAAATATAGATTCATATTTTATTGAATTGATTCCCAATACTAAATTATTCTTAAATAATTTATACTCAAATTTACTTTATATAAAAAGATATTTTTTTTGTAAATAACTCATCATATTATCTAAGATTTTATGAGTCTTTGTTTCACTTATGACAATTCTAATAAACTATTTTCCATATTAAAAAGTATAAATCATCTCCGTATGTTATCTTTAAATAATTTATACTCAAGTTTACTTGAATAAATAAAAAAATTACCGTTTAATAGGCTACTAGATATTTATTGTCTAGTGGTTACGTCAGTACTTGAATGATTATTCTTTTAAATTTTGTTGACATAAGTATTTCTGAAGCTGTTTTCTTTACTAAAACCCTTTAAAAACCCTAGAGAAGAAGGAGTTTAAGCTAGTTACTTGTTCTATGGCGGTTCAGAGCTCCACTTCCAGTGAAGCACTGGCTTCGAAGAATGTTTCGCATGGCCATTTTATTTGTAAGCCGTTGATTATATCGACAACATTCGTATGCATGTTTGTTTGCCATTTTAATCAATAGAAGTAATCATCGAGTTGCTTTAAACAGATGAAGGATCATACGAACCATTTTTTTTTTTTTTCAGCATTCAATTTCTGGAACGGAGGGTACAAATATTAAGTTCCAATAGGATTAGGATAAATTCCTTATGCTTTGATGCTGATGTGATATTCTTTGCAATTTAATCAAAAGCGATGTAATGTTACGAAATGAATCAACAGTGCTTGAATGTGCTTGATTTTCCCCCAATGTCACAAATGTAATAGAAATTTGTTGAATATGTTTGTTTGAGTCTTGAGTCATGGCTTCTTGGTTTTAACATAAGGTTTGTGGTTTATTTGTTGCGGTTTGGAGTTCCAGTGCAAGTTGCTTGTGTGAGTTTCAATATTATGGCACATAATATTGGCTTTTATATAGTTCTGGAATGGATTGGCATTTTTCATATTTTGTTTTGAATGAATGCAGATTTTAAAATGCACACTAATACGATTGTCTAGACTGAGCAGCTCAATTGTGATAAATTATCATTACCTGAGTTTTGGTTGGCAGAGGCACAACCCTATGAGTTAATTGAGCCTTTTCTGAGAAAATTGATCCTTTTCTATGGTTGGGACACACATCTTATCTTGTTGCATTATACATACACCTTCTATGATTGAATCTTCCTTTTCGTTTTCTCAACCCCCCCCAACAGAGCTTTACACTGGAAAATAATCTGTATATAAAATTGTTTATTCTTTTTTAAAATTACGGTTAGAACTACTTTTCTTACCTTATGATATTGTTGAAGTATGGAGAGAGTTTGTGTGGGGAGCTGTTGCTGGTGCTTTTGGAGAAGGAATGATGCATCCAGTAGATACCATTAAAACCCGACTACAAAGTCAAGCTATTCTAAATGGACTTCAGGTATAATGGCAGCCTATAGATGAATTAAAAAGATGTCCACATACAAACATATTTTAAAAGTTACGAATGAGCTGCTGTTCATATATAGCTCCGTCATCTAAAGTTTTTCTCCTTCTTTGGAACATCATTCATCCATTAGAACCAGAAAAACATATTGCAGATGGTGCGATATGTCTGGCAGGTTGATGGACTAAAAGGTACGCCATTTTAATCATTTAATATTTTTGTCCCTGCTATGGATGTTTATTCTGGTTTTTAATAATAAAAGTTCCTTATGTTAAATGACATGTCGTCCATGTTTGAGGGTGTTTTTATTTTTTATTTTTTCCTTTTTTTTGTTCAGAACTTATAATAAAAACTTTTAATCGAGTGCTATTGAGTTGAAACCTATTTGGCTGCAAAATGATGTAAATCAAGCCAGCATTTAGATAGATGAGTGATGACTTCGGCATTTATTTTTTCTCTATTTAAATTTACTTGTGTTTTAAATAGTTCATCTCACTTAGTGGGATGAGACTTTGTTGTTATTATAAACTTCTTCATGAATCGTGTAACATAAACTTGGAAAAATGTGTCCCATGTGATTGATTAAAATTTCATAGGCTTTTTCAGGGGTGTAATACCTGGTATTACTGGATCTCTTGCAACTGGTGCAACATATTTTGGTGTCATAGAGTCCACAAAAAAGTGGACTGAGGATTCACATCCTAGCCTTAGGGGCCACTGGGCACATTTCATTGCTGGAGCTGTTGGTAAGCAGATTTGAACCATGTCATATTAAATTAGTAATACTTTTGTATCTTTTGATAATCTAATTTTGAGAAGTTGTACATTCTGTCTCTCCCAGCACATGTGCAGGAAAGCAATTGTAATGTACCATCTGATTATGACAATATTTTTCCCTAAGATGTAATGATCATTCCAATGCACTACACATTCTATTGTTGTATTTGTATAATTATTTTCTCAGTAAATTATTTTCTTCTTTATAAAAGTAGATGCTCCCCCAATTCTACCTTTTTTTTTTTTGAAAAAAGTTACTTTGATTTTTAGAGCTTACTTGTAATTGTGCTTGGTTGAGTGTTTTTTAAAGGAGAAAAGTTCAGAAAAAAAGTTGTGAGTATGGCACTTGTAACCATTTCACAGTGAAACAAATGGCTCAAATTTTCCTTATTTTCCTCTCTATTTTCAGGAGACACTCTAGGTTCTTTTGTCTATGTTCCATGTGAAGTGATGAAACAGCGCATGCAGGTTCAAGGCACAATTACATCTAGGAGTCCTGTTGTTGTGAAGGATGGCATTGCTATCAAGTCTGGCACACAAATATATGGTTATTATACAGGGATGTTCCATGCAGGCTGCTCAATATGGAAAACACAGGGCTTAAAGGGTTTATATGCAGGGTACACACTAGAAAATACTAGTTTTCTTTTGACATTATGTTCTTGTATCTTTTAGTTCACAAATAACCGAGGCCCTCTTTCTCATTATAGTGTCCTAGGCTCCAATAAGACATGGGTTTCATGATTTATTTCTTTTGCTTTATTTATGGCAATAAGTGTCACAACAAAGTTTGATTGTTTTAATAGCAAGCAAGCTGTGAAATGAGTCTGTATCTTATAATGAGTCAATTATTAAATTAATTCTAAGCATATTTCTTGCTTAGGTCTCCCCATAATTTCATGCATGAATTTTAATTCCTTACTTCTTGTTTGTGCAGATATTTGTCTACTCTGGCAAGGGATGTTCCGTTTGCTGGCCTAATGGTATTATATGTAACCCACCCTATTTACTTCTTTTGCTCTTTATACAATGTGTTATATTTTATTTTGTTTTTCTATAAGTATATGAAAATATTTTGTTTAATCTCCATTAATTTTTATTAAAAGTCTTTTGTCTTGTGTGATCAAGGCATCTTCCTTTTTGTACAGCTGGCTATACTTTGAAATGGGCTATGAAATCATAAATTTGAAGTAAGCAACACTTGTATTATTGAAATTCGAAATAATGGACACATTTTGTATATTTGATTAAAGTATGGCATTCATATAACTGAATCGGGAAGGTGGTCTTTTCTTATCCATATCAAAACTGTCTTTCATGTTGATGCACTTTCCTTTCTTCAGTCGGATTTATTAGTTCATTTGCCATACCTTGTATTTATTTCAGCAATAGATTAATAATTATGTTATTTTAAATCTCAAAGACATTGTATTTAAAAAACTGTTTTGGAGATCTTCTGCAGCAATTGTTCTGGAACTAAATAAACATATTTTTCTTCCAAATTACATAGAGTTTGTTTGATTTAACTTTTTTTTTTTTTTTAAAACCAGTTTCAGAGATCAATTTTGAAAAATGTTTTTGAAAATAAGTTAGAAAAAACTTGTTTGATAACTATTTTTGAAAAGTATTTGCGAAACAGGATGGTGACATAAATATCAACGAAAAGTTGTAACTAAAGTTAGAAAACGATTTTATAACTTTATGAAAATAAAATAAGTGATTAGTGATATTATTGATTAACAATATTGATATTTATCACTTTGGTTCTGATTTCTGAAAATAAATTCACTATTCTCAACCATTATTACCTTTTCTGTGCTTTTGAATACTGATAATATGACATTGTTGTTTTCGTTCTATAGGTCATGTTCTATGAAGCTTTGAAAGACGTTACAGAATATGTAGAGCAAAGAGGGATATGTAGCCCAAATTGGCATGGTAACCATTCATTTGAGGGACTGGTTTTAGGAGGATTAGCTGGTGGTATGTCCAGTGCTCTGCCTTAAATGTTAGGTGCTGCAGTGTTCTTTGTCTTCCATAAAACTCAATATGGTTCACTATAATTCAACAGGTCTCAGCGCATATCTTACCACTCCTTTGGATGTTGTAAAAACAAGACTGCAAGTGCAGGGTTCAACCTTGAGGTATCATTTCCTTTAGTTTATTTAACAGGTTCTGTTATGCACATTTGTGTACCTGCTACCGGGATACTAGTCTTCTTTCTTTATTGATAGACTGTTTAACTCATGTGCTTGGATATATATACGGAGTTCGATTTTCTATAGTGGGCATCTACAAAATAATAACTTGTTACGGTGTCTCACAATTTTTCTTATCATAGTCACAAACAGGGTTTATTTTGTGCCAAGTTAGTCAGCTGAGTTGGTCATGTTTTTGATGGACATGCTAAATTGATTATAATTTGCTCTCCAACATTGTCTTAGGTATACTGGTTGGTTGGATGCAATTCGCATTATATGGGCCACAGAAGGCATGAAGGGGATGTTTAGGGGTAGCATCCCCAGGATTACATGGTACATTCCGGCTTCGGCACTTACATTCATGGCCGTGGAATTTCTCAGAGATCATTTTAATGGAAAAGTGCCCAATGATAATTTGCGAGATGTCCGCAGATTATCAGTAGACAAGAAATCACTGCAGGAGGTTGCTTAGAAGATTTTCGTCAATTCAGACATTAATTCCCATCCTGATTTTTACGAAGACGGAAGGTTGTATGATATCAATTTTTTTTACATGCTCAAACTAATGATAATTAGATCCCCATTAATCTTGGCCAACTTCTGACCATTCAATTTGGCTCATCATTCAGACTCCAGAGGACCAGCTGATAAAAATTGGAAAGTTGAAATACGTGGTCCTTTTTTTATTTTGGAGTAAGTTTGATTTTTATATTTTAAATATAAATTGAATTTTTAGTTATGTAATTTGAAAAGTCTTGTTTTTAATTTTTTATCAAATGTTTCTTTATTGGAAATTGAACATATCGTGTAAGATATGCGCTGCGACCTGTTGAATTATGAACGTATTTATGAACGTATTTTTAATTCCAACCACAAATAACATTTTAATAAAAATAAGTATGAAATATTAATTATTAGATTGATTAATAAATAGAATTTGATTTTTTTTATGATTGAGATGTTATGAAATAAATTTTAAAAGCATTTACTTTTAGACTAAATAATTGCATAATTTTCTTTTAAATAAATTATTATTATTATTATTATTATTATTATTATTATTATATTAGATATATCAAATATTTGAATTATTAAATATTATTTGTAATATAATTAATTGTTCTATTGATACGGAATTTATATGATATTTTAATTAAATATTATGTGTATATAGAATATATTTAACTATGTAAGCTTTTTATGCTCGAAATTTTGTAATAGATTATTAAGAACGTGATAATTGATTTATATTGATATGTATGTTTGTTGAGGGTGATCCAACCTTACTAAGTTTCAGGATTAGATATAATTTGGTTAAAAGCTAACTTTTGAATGAATTCATAATAATAAGTCGACATATTCTCATTATGATTGTATTTAATGATAAAATAATTATTGTGAATTATATTAAATAGCTTTTTAATACATAATTAAATGACCTTTATGCATTTCTAAACCACAACATTTATAATATGTTTTATATTATGCTAAAATATAAATATTGATGCATAGAGGATAGATTTAATAGAGTGAAAAATGATGAATTTGAGGGAAAAAAAATGAAAGTGTAATTGTTCGAAGTAAGAAAATATAGTAGAAAATGCAAGCAACCAAGACAAAAGTTTGAGTGATATGATTGATAAAAAAAATATTTATTAAAAGAAATCTAAGATGATCAAATTATCCTTTGGTGAAAATTGATTTTTTTGCACTGAAGAATGAATTTTCTGACAAAGATACTTATATAAATGTACATAAGATAAACTGTCTGTCTCGCCTCGTATTCTCACTCCATCAAAGATCCTTCATCTCCTCCTTCCCTCAAAATTGCATTCTCAAATAACCTATATTCAGTGGAAACAAACACAAAGTTAGCCACTCTTCCATTCGCATAAATAGTATATCATTGAAAACAAATATCACCTATGCTAACTATAACTCAATGCATAACTATTTCGTGTTATAGCATTTCATGTTATACTCAAAAAACAACTCAGTTTCGATTTACAACTCATTTTCAAGTTGTTATATGCCTATACTTTTCTATAAAATCATTTTCAAGTACTTGCATTGGTCTTACCTTTTCAACATAACTCAAGTAGTATGTTCAAGGTGTAAGGATCCTTAATTTATGAAACCAAGAGATTGAATTGATATAATATATTTAATCCGAACAGGGAATGTAACTCAATTATCTAAGTATATAACTTGTTTATTCCAAATAAGAAGTATAACTCTATCCCATGTAAGATGTATAACTTGTTTATTCGTTGGTGTACGAAAGAACGAAGGTGTCTTTAAAAGAGGTCTCAAGATTAACTTATTTATTGTTCATTTTAAATTTTTACTCCATTAAATTTTTATCCTTATGACTCAATAAATTAAAAAAAGGTATATAAATTATCATTGATATTGATTTGATATTGATTTTTAAGCGATGTAAAAAGCATAATCTTATTTTTGGAAATATTACTTTATTATCTTTTATTTAAATTAGGTATTAAGAGATTTTATTATCTTTTAAGAGAGAAGGTAAAAAGACATTAGGTTATTATTTTGATTTAGGCAGTTATGATTGAGATATTATGAATATTTAATATTTTGTAATATTTTTACTCTATGTATACATAGAGTACATGAATAAAAATATACTCACATGATATATATCAGACATATATATACACAAAACCCTTCAAATACCCAACAAATTGGTATCTGAGCTTTGGTTCGATACAATGGAAGGAGAAAGAAATTTTTTACAAGTCGCTATTCCAGTTTTTGGTGGCGAAAGTTATGACTTATGGGTTGTGAGAATGCAATCATATCTTGAAGGATTGGATGTATGAGAAGCTGTAGAAGAAGATTATATTGTTGATCCACTACTTGAAAATCCCACTATAGCTCAAATGAAATCTCACAGAGAAAGAAAAATGAGAAAGACAAAAGCTAAATCATGTCTGTTTGCTGGTGTTTCACAAATGATCCTCACCAGAATCATGACGCTAAAGTCACCCAAATTCGAGGTATGAAAGTTCTAAGTTTGACAAGGGAATTTGAGATACAAAAGATGCAAGAGTCTCAAACAATTAATGAATACTCAAACAAATTGTTAGGCAAAGAATTTTCTGATTCTAGAATAGTTGAAAAAATTTCTGGTAACTGTGCCAGAGAGATATGAAGCATCAATTGGAAAACATAAAAGATTTGTCTAATATTACTTTGGCAGAAGTGCTACATGCTTTACAAGCACAAGAGCAACGAAAATTGATGAGAGGAGATCATGCTGCTAGGGAAGGTTCTTTACTATATCATGATGGAGGTTCTGTCCAAGCCAAGAACAACAAAGGTACAAAATCACGAGTTGCAAGAAAAATAATCACACACCCAACAAGTGTTGGTGGAGACCTGATGTGAAATGTCACAAATGTGGTCAATTGGGACATATAGAAAAGATATGCAAATCACAACCAGAGGAAGTCGTTCAAGTTATAGAGGATAGAGAAGAAGATGTACTTCTCCTTGCATCAACATGCTCTACAATCAACAAATCCACAGGTTGGCTAATAGACAGTGGTTGTACAAACCACATGACTCATGATCGAAAATTTTCAAAGAGCTCAACGAATCACATATTTCTAAAATGAGAATTGGTAATGGAGAAGAAATGGACCTGAAAGGTACAAAAACAACTGCAGTTAAAAGTCATTCGGATATCAAATTGATTATTGATGTTTTATATGTTCTTGATATAAATCATAATTTGTTAAGTGTTGCTCAATTATTGGAGAAAAGTTATAAGGTGTCTTTTGAACACAAACTTTGTGTGATTAAAGATACAAATAACTTAGAAATATTCAAAGTTCACATGAAAGGAAAAAATTTCACTTTAGATTTGATGAAAGAAGAGGTGATTACAAATGAAGATATAAAAGAAAAGTCAAAGAAAAAGCATGAAGAAGATTTCTTGAAGAAATTTGATGTTAAGGAAGAAAATAAAGATGTAGATGAAAAAACCGTTTTCAACGTCCATCAAAGAGTCAACATTACTACCATGAAGTTTAAAAGAAACAAAGGAGATGAAGTTGATAAAGGAATAAATATGTTGTGAAGAAAGTGAAGAATGAAAATGTGATCTCATACAATAAAGAAGATAACAAGAAGTATAAACAAAAAAAGGAGAAAAAATTATAAAAAAAGAAAAAAATATATCAAATTCAAATAAATAGATTTTAAAGTAAGGAGGAATGTTGGAAATATTACTTTATTATCTTTTATTTAAATTAGGTATTAAGAGATTTTATTATCTTTTAAGAGAGAAGATAAAAAGACATTAGGTTATTATTTTGATTTAGGCGAGTTATGATTGAGATATTATGAATATTTAATATTTTGTAATATTTTTACTATATATATATATATATATATATATATATATATATATATAGTACATGAATAGAAATATACTTACATGATATTTCAGAAATACATATACACAAAACCCTTCAAATACCCAACACTTATCGAAACATATTCTCCAAATCGGAAACTAAGAAAACATGAGACTTTAGTTCTTACCTCATGGTGAACGTAACTGTTCTTACCAAATTGGTTAATATGGATGAATGAACTTCAAAATGATGATTATGAACAAAATATGAAGAAGGTCTACATCAATAATAATATAAAAAATATATAAATATATAAAATGTATGACTCCATTATTCTAAACAAACTCAGAATGGATGCGCTCGAAATGACCAAATGTAAGAAATACCTCACGATATTTTAACCGAGTTCAGAAAATGACGAACAAACTAACTATTAATTTCTGAATATAGTATACCAAAACCTGGTGATACTTTTAACTGAGTTCAGAAACTGAACAAACAAACTATCTATAATTTCTGACAACTGAATTATACCAACACCTAATAATGTTTTACTTCAACTAGGTAAATCTGGTCAAAGTTTAGAAAGTTTTCTCACTTCCACCATCTGGAAGGTCTCACAAATCATGAGCTGTTAGGCCCTGATCTTCTGCAGCAAGTTTCATTTATGAAATTTTGGTAATTTTTCAAAGCCAGGAGGAACATCCAGATCGTTATCAGACACCAATTTGGGTGTAACTAGTCGAACGTGATCAGCTCTCTCCATCATATCCCTTCCTCCAACCATATCAATGCCCATATCAGGCTCCTTGTCTGGTACTCTAACAACTCTTTTATCAATTTTCTTTTTGCGAAAGAATCCCCACAGGAAATGTCCAGCGTTTACTGCAGTAATAACACCTGTGCACACTAGTTGATGACATCTTTGCCAGCACAAAATGTAATAATAAATGCTTACACTCCCATGCAGGCAAATAGGACAAACAAATTCAACAAAACACAGGTTTCAAACGAAAATTGTAATATTTTGAATCTGCTCTATCTAATCTTAATTAGGGTAATGAAGTGGCAAAGCAGAGGTAATTAATGCATGAAACAGTTTACGTACCCCTTGAGTTCATGTCAAGTTGATATGGGGTAAATATCAGCAACTCCACACCATTTATATAACTTCTCAACATTGATTTTTCCGCATTCATAAACGTCAATATGCTAATCAGGTTCTCTCTGGACCTACATTCAATTGAGAACATGTAGTATAAATAGCTTCAACAATAAATACTGCCTAGAGGGAAAAGGAAAAGATCATTTACATAGGTAAAAGCAACCTCTCAGTTTGCTGTGATGGAAAGAAGTACAGTGCAATATCCTGAAGGTTAGGAGAATCATCTAAGAATATGTCAGTCAAGACATTCAAGGCAGGTCGTGACTCAAGTTGAAGAACCGATGGCATTTCTGTTGAAAATTTATATGCTTTCGCATTAACAACGAATGGTGGTTGGGCTTCAAACCCATCATAAAATTTGCTAGGTGCAGCGGTTTGAAGAATTTGGAATTTACCCCTAGAAAATGGTCAACAGCATGTTAAATTCAGATTAATAAATCTGTAACCTTCAGATAATGCTAGCAAGTGTCATATAATACTTGCAATAAATTCCTCAAATGATTGACACTTGCACGTGGTACCCATAACAAGATCTTCAATAATCATACAAGTTCCTATAGTTCACCAATTGTTAACATTTACAAGCTCACTACCATTTATTTCAACAAAAATAAGCATCCAAGTTTTGCAATTGATGGCTTGTAGTTATACCCCGACATGCCAATATTGGTAGCAAACTTTTTCTCCCGACATAAATATTCTAAATTCGAGAAAAGATCACAAATGTACTCTACATACATATAAATGTATATAGTTTCTGTGCACCCATGTACGTAGTCATTGCTGAAACTGTTTGAAAGTTGGCATTGTAATTAGTAAATAGTGATATATAACATTGAAAGGTAATCGGAGAATTTCATCCTCACCAGTACTACGGATTGGAATATAATGTGAATTTTATAGGGACAGAAATTTCAGGGACGAAATTATCAATGACAAGGGAAGAGAGGTACATACCTCCAAGTAGGAATTGAAGAGGGTAAACTTTTACGATCAAAGTTTAAGTTTTGCTGAATACTCAGGTCATTTTTTTCACCATTAGATAGGTTACACTCAACATCAGCACAGGGGATACCACCTTTTAACGAAGAGAGAGAAACAACAAAAGAAAAAGGAAAAAAAAATAAGAGATTATAGGTTCAAAACCCAAAAGCTGCAAGTGACTAATACCAATTACATACTAACATTTATGCTCACATTTGCACGAAGAGACTAAGAAAATGCAACGAACAACAAAAAGAAACCATCACATATAATACAGACAGGAAAAGTATCCTACCTGAACCGACAATAGAGGAAGATTTACTAGCAGATAAAGCTTCAAAAGGTCCCCCTTTTGTAGGCTTTTCTTCATGAGGATCATGGGTTTGAATTTTTTTACCAGGTATCACTCCACCCATTGGTCGCTGATTTTTTCTTGAACACTTCTTTGGTGGTCCTACAATTTCCAGTCTCAAAAAGAAATCACAAACATGTGGTAAACTAGAACAGCAAATGCTCTGACCATTCTTTCTAAACGAGTCACACTGTGGTTCCGCACAATTAGTATCAGTCGATGATGATTAAATCTAACTAAATATATCAAGTTAGTTTAATACAATCCATTTAAGTTGTCAACTTAAACAGTATTTCTATTTAACTATTGAGTAATATACTGTCATGAAGTGTTTAATGGAGATTGAATATATATTCAAGACATCTTAAGAGTATTGAATTGTATTGATGCAGTAATTATTTATATTTCAAGGAGAAAATTATGATTTTTGGGCACTAAAAATTGAGACTTTGTTTACATATTTGGATGTCTCAGAGTTCATATAAATTTAGTATGAAGATCAAGCCATTATAGTTGTACAACAGCATTGTTGAAAAGAAAGAAAATCACAAATGTTAGTTCTTAAGATGATTCAAAGAGGAATCTCACTAGCCATATTTCTAAGGACCATGAGAACAAAAATTACAAAAGAAGCATAAGATCCTCTTCAAAAAGAGTACGAAGGAGATTCAAATTAAGGACAATTAAACTTCAATCTCTAAAGAGAGATTTTGAGAATGAAAAAAGAAAGAAAAAAAAAAAACTTGAATGAATGCATATCATGGAGATACGACAGTCACAAAGTTGTTAATAAAATTCTTACCAGTTTGACTAAACAATTTGATCCTAGTTTAATACAATCCATTTAGGTTATCAACTTAAACAATATTTCTTATTAGTTGTTAATAATGTTGGAAGTCCCACATCGTCTGTCTCATGTCATTTGGTATAGTTTAAATATATGTTAGGCTCCTCCACATATTGTAATTGGTTTTATGTTGGAACAAGAAAAAGATTTACTTTACAAATCAATAATGCAATTCATTTGCTAATGCAAAAAATGATAGGGGAAGAGAAAAAAAAAATTATTCTTTACTTGTCAAAAGACAATTTAAGAACATAAGAATATGTAGTATTTGGCTACACATGTAGATTGTTTTAGTCCAACAAAAGAGGCTCTAGGAAGGGATGATGAAAAACAAGAGGCCTAAGAAGAATCACAAAAGGAAACGGAAAATAATGTATGAAAAACGCTTTAAAAGTGTTGAAGATATTATTTGATTAGGTTGAGTATAATAGGGATATAATATATATTTAGCATATGTGTAAGAATTTTATTTTACTTTGTCAACTTAATTATCTTGTAAATATGATTATAGATAGATGGATGTGTATATGCCTATAATACACACAATTCCTGTAATCCTACATGGTATCAAATTAGGATTTGATTTTTTTTTTTTTTTTTTTGTATTGTTAGTGTTATTCGTTGTGAGTAGTATCGAGAACACTTCCTCCTACTACCAAATAGAAGCCACAACATTTCCCAGGCACACCCTTTTTACCACTGTCACTTTCCTTTGATGACCCTATGTCGCTAGTCATTCCTCCATGCACACAACTAGTCTCCATGATCCACGTGTATTTCACACCACCAATCTCCTCTACATCAGTGTAGTCCACACCACTAACCTTTTCCGCATGTAAGTGTAGTTTGCATCTATATTGTTTGTTAATAATTTTGTTCATGTTTAGGATCAACAATTGAGGCAAGACATGAGTCTCGAGGATTATATCATCTTTGCTTGTGTCTCCTCTAGCATCATGATTTTCCCATCAACACCTTGGAGAAATTGTGTTATTTAATTCCAATCTTTTAAGTCATTACAATATAAGTTATGATAATTGGGAAAACATGTTCATCATTCATATAGTTCTTTAGTCAATAGATGTGATGTATCACCTTTTTCTTTTAGTTCACTATAATATTTGGAGACCTATTCAAGTCATTTTAACCTAAATATATTTTATCAAATCTATTGATGATATTTTTCATTGTTCTTGGGTCTTCCTAATGAAAAAAATTATTATGATGTCTTTCTATTTTTTAAAGATTTTCACGTGAAATTACAACTCCATTTATGTCATCACTAAATTTTTACACACTACACACAAATATTTGTCTTTCCCATTTTAGTCTTTCACAAATTGCAAGACATTCTTCATCAAACTTCTTGTGCTCACACACCATAATAGAATGGTGTCGTTGATCACAAAAGTCATCACTTAATTGAAACAACTCGTACCCATCTTCACTATGATGCTCCTCTTAGTTTCTTGGATAGTGTGATTCTTACTACACATTACTTTTAATTGCATGCTCTCAATCATATAATTAGACACCGTACTCTATTTTGTAACCACAACAAGACCTTTACCATGTTTTTGTCCATATCTTTGGTTGTACCTATTTTGTTCATGATCTTACTCCCAACAAAGATAATTTCTCGATCAAGTCTCTTAAGTTTGTTTTTCTTGGTTACTTTAGTCTCCATAAAGGATATTGTTTTGTTCGCAACTCCAACAAATATCTTGTTTCTACTAATGTTAGTTTCATTGTGTCTAAACCATTATAAAAAAATTGTTAATAATTCTCCTTTGATTGCCCAACCTATTTGTTGAAAGTCCCACATCGCCTACCTCATGTCATTTGGTATGGTTTAAATACATGTTAGGCTACTCCACATATTGCCAATTGGTTTTATGTTAGAACCTTAACATGGTATCAGAGCCAAAACCTAACATCTTTCCAGTTATTGTCATGGGTCAAAAATTGCCCTTTAGTTGGGTCAAAAGTACCCTTTGCCTGGTCCGACAGGCTTCGTTGGAGGGGGTGTGTTGAAAGTCCCACATCGCCTACCTCATGTCATTTGGTATGGTTTAAATACATGTTAGACTACTCCACATATTGCCAATTGGTTTTATGTTGGAACCTTAACACTATTGTTATAACTCTGACTATCATCATTGGTCCACGTACACTTATTTTATCAACAAAGGTCACAACTTCCACTTGAGGTTGCAACTATTGATCGCCATCATCATCATCTCTTTCTCCAAACAACTCTCCAACCATGTCTCCTTAAGAGCTTCCATTTCCCTAAGAAAAGGTATTCACACTCACGATCCTGATCTTATATATACTTATACTCTTCAATGCCATTGTTTATCTGCTTCCTATTTCCCCTTTATATTCTTTTTTTAATTTTGTATCTATTCCCAAGTCTATACGTGAAGCTATGACTATCATGTTAATTACAAGTGATGTTAGATAAGATGACTACTTTACATACTACACAAACTACTACAATGGAAACACCTTATAGTCTCACTTATGGTACGAATGTCATGATACTAGTGGATATTGGAGAACCTTTTTGGTGGAGTTGGACTTTGTTAAAAATTTAAAGTGTCACCCTACAATCTGAAAAATAACTTGCAAACAAAGGATAACACAAAAATACAAATTCAAAGATTAAATTGAGATATTTCCACTAGGGAGACCTTGTGCTGAGAGTGAAAAGCAATGCGAGAAAAAATCGCATGGATGGAAAGTTTTCTTCTAATTGGGAGGGGTCATACAAGATTATGGAATGTCTAAGAAACAACGCTTCCAAGTTGGATGAGTTATCAAGCAAACCAATATCAAGAACGTGAAATGCATATTTGCTAAAGTTTTACTTTAATTAAGTTCTACAAGTGTGTACTCCTTCCTACCACCGATATTTTATCCCTAAGGAGGATTTTGAAGCACTTGGTGGATTTGATGAAGACATAGATATAACTTAGGTTGTGGGTGTGTAGATGATTAGGGTTTTAAGTTTAAGCACTTAATCTCTTGATAGGCCATTATATTTTGTGATAAGCACCTTAAAATGATGCATCTCATTGAAAATCATTTTTCTGCATGAAAAACTTACGTTTAAGTATTAAAAGAATTAACTAAGTTTTTTCTCAATCTGTTGAAAAGGATTTTCAATCTGTTAAAATCACTTAACATAATAAATGGTCATACATAATCGAAAATTCAATTGATTGATTCGCGGAATCAACAAGTTAAAATAACTCAATGAATTTTCAATATCAAGTTTCGCATTTTTCAATCTGTTGAAATGATTTTAAATCTGTTGAAATATTTTTCAAACTGTTGAAACAGAGAGACTATTTTTTAAACTAAGTATTTGCGGGAATTTAATCTTGTTGAAATGATTTTCAATCGATTGAAATAAGAGTCTTAGTCATTTTTCATTAAGTTGTTTTAATCCATTAAAACTCGAATCAATCGATTAAATGGAACTTTAAATGAATTCAATCGATTGAATCGATGTCTTAGTCGATTAAAAGAAACTTTAAATGAAATCAGTCGATTAGATCTGATCTTTTAATCGATTGAAATAATACTCTAATCGATCATAGTTTTGTTATAATCGATCATAACTCATTCTGATCGATCATAGTTTTATTACTGATCGATCATAACTTCATTCTGATCGATCATAGTTTTTATTCGATCGATCATAACTTTCGATCCAATCAATCATTCTTCGTTTTAATCGATCAGATTCTCTTCTAAACCTCTGTTTCATTGCTAACCAACTTATCTTTTGACTCTCTAAAACAGTTTTAACAGGATGAAACGTTCACGTTTTTCCGATTTACTCTATATATACTGATTTGATCTATCTTTTGAATATACAATACAACACACTATACTTGAGAAAACTTGTGAAATCAATCATGAAACTTTCATACGTGACTTTCTCGCATCTCAAGAATATTTTTCATATCATAAGGTCTCTGGATCAGAATCAGTGGTCATTCAAAGAGAGAAAATGCTTGATAGAATTGGTTCTGGACAATTAGAAACTTCAAGTCCAGGTTTATTCTTTTCATATTCTTTTGTAAAGTTTGATTGCGCGGGTTGGATTGTAATCCGCACTTGGTACAAGATAGCTTGGATTTGGTTACTTCGGGTGGTTTTCAAGATTACGTCTTGTGGGTTTTGCAAGATTGTTCTTGAGGTAGATTGGTGAGTATCTACTCGGTTGTAATTTTTCACTTGGTATTAGTGAAACTTGATCGGTTTGTCAAGAAGCTGGATGTAGCTCTGGATTAGAGTGAACCAAGTATAAACTTGTGTGTTAATATTCTTCTTTCATCTCTTTTAATTCGTCTTTAATTGTACTTGTGTTTAAATCAAATTACCTTTGCAAAGATTGAATAAAGATAACTCATTCTTCCAAAAGAAAGTAAGATTTGCGAAAAAGTTTTAAAGTTCAATTCACCCCTCTTGAACTCAACCATTAATTCTTTCAATTGGCATCGAGTTTGGTTCTTGTAAGTTACTCAAGGAATCGGTCCAATGGTGAGGAAAGATGAATTTTTTAGAAGGAGCCTCCATAATGCGTGCCTCCACTTTTTTCACGGTGTGAATTATTCTTTCTACGGAAGGTTAGAATGAAAATCTTTATTGAATCTCTTGATAGAGGCATTTGGGAAACAATTGTTAATGGTCCTTATAAACCAACTCATACCGTAGATGGTAAAGTAGTCGAAAAAGATTGGGCTGAATTAACCGATGTAGAAAATAGGAAAGTCCAATATGATTATACTCGCAAAAAATATTATTACCTCTCGCTTTAAATCTTGATGAGTTTTTCGAGGTGTCTCAAAGGTGCCTCTGCCAAAGAGATGTGGGAAATTTTAGAGGTTACACATGAAGGAACGTCTCGATGTGAAAAGGGCAAGAAAGCATGAGTTAATCAGGGACTATGAGTTGTTTAAAATGCAAGCAAGGAGAAACAATTGCGTATGTGCGTAAAAGGTTCACGCACATAGTTAATCATCTAATCGGGTTAGGAAAGACTTTTGACAAAGAAGAGTTGAACATCAAAATTTTAAAGTGTTTGGACAGTAACATGGCAACCAAAGGTGACAACAATATCGTAATCAAGAGACTTGACTCGAAATGACTACCGCTTCACTTTTTGGTAAGTTGAGGGAACATGAGTTGGAAATCAATCTGCTCAAAGAACAAGAGAATGCAGTAAAAGAAAACTAGAAATATTGTTCTCAAGACAATTGAAGAAAACAATGGATCTCGAAGAAGATGAATCAGAGAACTCGACTTTATTGGTTAAGAAATTTGGAAAATTTCTTAGAAGAAAGAACATGAATTGGCCAAGTAAAAAGGTACAATGATAAAAAGACCGAATCTGCTCAAAATAATATTACTTGTTATTCTTGTGGTAAACAGTGGTCACATAAAGAGTGATTGTCCTGAAAAGACCAAGAATCGTAACAAGAAAGAATCAAGATACAAAGGGAAAAAGGCTTATATAGCCTGGCAAGACAATGATTCATCTTCCAACTTCGAATCCGAAAGTGAGGAGGTGAACCCGTGCTTGATGGTCGGTCGTGAATCCTCTTCATCACATGTAAGTTCAACTCCTACAGAGAATGAAATGAATTACAAGACATTACTAAATGCTTTCAATGAAATGCATAGTGAAGCCGTAAATTTATCTCATACAAATAATCGGTTGAAAGGTTTAAATAACTCGGTTAGAAAATAGAGTTAAAGTTCTGGAAAATGAACTATTAGAAAGCAAAACAGCATTTAGAACATCTAGATATAATCTATTCATCTCATGATAATGTTGCTGTTAATAAGAATTGTGAAAAGTGTATTATTTTACAAAATAAGGTTGATTACTTGACTAAAACTTTGACAAAATTTACTCAAGGTAAAGAGAATTTAGATGCACTTCTTGGGTCTCAAAACTGTGTGTTTGAACATAGTGGAATTGGATACAAACCTAAGACTGGGGTAAAAACTAAAAAATATTTGAACTTCTTTTCATACAGAAAAACAACAAGATCCCCTTTCTCATCTTGTCATTACCGCATGAAGAAAGGACATACTATAAAATTTTGTCATGCTAGAAAATATTTTCGTGCCGCAAGGTAGGAAGAAATGGGTTCCAAAACATGTTAATTCATTTCAAATTAACTCCTAATTGGACCCAAAATACATAAAGGGTACCGTAAAAATTCTTAACTTGTTTTGCAGGAACAAAGTCCGGGAATCCCTTGAAGTTCGTGAGCTACGAATCAGGTTGTGTTTGTCTAAACTGATTGTTTTAATTGATATAAACCAAGTATTAATCGATTAAAATAACTTACGTAAGATATTAGTAAATCTGTCCGTACAGCTTTAATCGATTGAAATGCGAATCAATCGATTAAAATGTTCTCATGATTTGAGTTTTAGCTGCTTTAATCGATTAGAATGAATTTATATCAACTAAAATCACTAAGGTATCAAATTTAATCGACTCATTTTCGTTTTAATCGATTTAAATTCTGGTATCATCTTCTAGATCTCTTCCAATACGTAAACAATCGATTCTTTCAAGTATTAATCGATCATTTTACTATTGCATTTTCAAAACGAATATTAAAGACCAAATTAGTAAAATAATTTGTTTAATCAATTTGTTCCTGAAAATCATTTTCAAAACATCCAAATGAAATTTGGTCATGCATATAGAGTTTACAATTTAAGACTTGAAATCAGTTGAAGAATCAGGACATGTTGTGTTTAATGAGTCTCCTCGAGTAGTGCGTAATAAAACAACAGTACTCGCAGATGAAGAAGATTTAACTGATAATTCTTATCAGCTTGAAACATGCCAAGAATACGATCACGTACTCGTTGAAGAAGATGATCCATCAGTGGACCCAGCAAAAGCTAATTCTCCAACAATTATCGAAGAACAGGAAGAAGATGTTCGGAAGAGCTTCCTAAAGAGTGGATTGTCCCAAGAAATCTCTCTCTAGACAATGTCATCGGGCAAATTAATAAGGGAGTATCTACTAGACATTCTCTTAATCAATTCTCGTAATCATATGGCATTCATTTCACAAATAGAGCCTAAGACAGCTTAAAGAAGCATTAAATGATGAATACTCGGGTTAGTGCCATGCATGATGAGCTTAATCAATTTGAAAGAAATAAAGTGTGGGAATTAGTTCCTAAAATCAAAGATATCAATATAATTGGTACTAAGTGGGTATTCAAAAACAAGCTAGAT